AGCAAACAAACAATTTACAAACAATATAAAATTTGCATAGTGTAAGTTAAAAAAATTAAAACTGTCATGTAATACACTGTTACCTAACTCAATTAAATAAATAAATTTATTGGTTCCATAAAATCTTGCTTCTTGCCTTTGGGATCTTTTTGTTTAAAGTATTTCATCTTTTGGAACATGAGTACCATTAATACATGCATATGCATGTTTATCATATCAGTTTGAATAACTCATGTATACAAGTATCCAATAAACATTTTTTCAATGATACGTATTGCTTCCTCACCAGTAAGTAGAGAGGGTAGGTATAGATATGGAAATAAGCTTCTGTCAGGTCAATGAAATGATTTTGTATCTGATAGTCTTAGAACAGAGGGGATTTACATTTGACAAGGTCAATAAAATGCATGATATCTGAACTTTAAATTATATCAGTGTTCAATGTTTGAATTAATTTTTTACATGATTATAGCAAATCAAGGTTAACAAACATGTATTTGTTTCTTTTCCAAGGAGCTATCATGTTCTTTTCTCCTATCTAAAGCAGACAGGATACATTATATGAGTAACACCTCCAAGACAAAGGGAACGCATGGATAAATTGTTGTGATATGCCCAGTCCTAAATGTATGCACCAAAAAGAAATTTTAAACGGCATTGTGGGCTGACCAATCTCGATAATCTCAGCTCTTCCGTTCCGAAGCAACATTTCAAGCTATCATAATGGCTCAATTGATGTTGTTATGTTAGGATTGAGAAAAAATAATTGAATGTAGTCAATCACGCGAACAGTTTAAACAGTTATCACTAACAATTTTTGTTGAAATTGCTTATTAAGTAGAATGATATCAAAACCATCATAATTTTCAATATTGAACGTTTGCATATCACAACAAGAGTAAAGTGTAAGAAAAGGGCATTATCTTGAAAGCAAATTCTTTTTGGAGTAATGCCCCAAAAGGAGTAATGTAATGTCCCTTTTCAACTCGGAAAATCTATTAGAATTAGCTAAATATGTTCCCTCGTTGGATAGAATCTTTTTTTCTCCCAGAAATAATCGAGTATGCATTTGTTGTTAAAAACGTTTCAAATTTATGTCAAATCAAAATATTTCAGTTAGAAAATGAAATCTGTAGCCAATTAAACACATAAACGATAAGGAAACCCCTCGATACCTCTTATATGCCGACCCGCTCTCTGAATGTAAATTAGTAAAGCGGCTGTGATCTTCTATTTAAAAAAAGAACGTCACTGGTGCGATATACATAGCTTTCGATAGAAGGCTTAACAATGATATGATGAACTTTTTCAAAGGTAAATAGAGAATAATTGCCAAACATAGAGCTCTATGATGTTGAATGAGTGTAAGTTTAAAACTGAATTTATGGAACGAGTTTTATAAAATATTATGCGAGCCTCTGGCGAGTATAATGTTCTTTTATTCAACGAGTTCGATAAATTTTGTATTAAACTTAAACTTACAATTTAATATTTTATTTATCACATACCCAAAATAAAAACTGTTTAAAGTAAAAAAGGAACATTTTCCATTGACGCGCCTTTAGTGTAACGCTAACATTTAGCGCGTCTTTATACTAAGTTTGTATAACGCAAATGACGTCACGTTAAAATATATGCACGGTCGTGCAATACTGTTTTTACGGAGTCGCAAAATCGGCACGGGTATTCGATAAAATCATCACACACCCGAGCCGATTTTGCGACTCCGTAAAAATGGTATTGCCCGACCATGCATATACATTGTATTCTGACGTGACATCATTTGCGTTATACAAACATAGTGTATAAAGACGCGCTAGATGTTAGCGTTCTACTGTATGCGAGTCAATGAAAAATGACTATTTTACACTTTAAACACTCTTAAGTTTTGGTATGTAATGAATAGAATATTAAATTCGTGTAAGTTCATTACTGAATTTATTAAACGAGTTAAATAAAATTATATCTTGCTCGCAAGAGGCTCGCATAACATAATTTTATTCAACTCGTTCAATAAATTCAGTACACTCATTCAATATTCTCTATATCCTGAATGTCACTAAGACTAGTTTTGAATAATTCTTTGGTCATTTTTATAGCGAAACAAGTCTATGTGAATTTATTTCATAAGATCATCAAATAACTATGGTGGCTGATTTGTGTCATTCGTGTTTTCGCCCCGCGACCCCGCCAAGCGAAAAGTCGAGAATAAACAAGTTAAATTGGCGGAGCACAGAGCATTAACACGCTTATTATCAAAAATAATAATAATATATTATATTAATAAAACTTCGCCCTGCAGGGTCGCGGAGCGAGATTTAAGAAATAAAGCGGCGAGGGCGCGAAGCGAAAACACGCTTATTAGCGGGGGTGCGGGGCAAAGTTTAATAAATAAAACTTAGCCCCGCTTCCGCTAATTAGCGTGTTTTCGTGCGACCCCGCCAAGCGAAAAGTCGAGAAATAACAAATTAAAATAGCAGGGGCGCGGTACGAAAACACGCTATTTAGCGGAACGCGGGGCGAAATTCAAGAAATACAACGGATATGGCGCGGAGCGAAAACATGCAAATAAGGGGGCGGGCGGGGCGAAGTTTAATAAATAAAACTTCGCCCTGCGCCCTCGCTAGTTAGCGTGTTTTCGCCCCGACCCCGACAGACGAAAATGAACAAGTTAAAATGGTGAAGGCCCGGAGCGAAAACACGCTGATTTGCGGGGTTGCTAATTATGCGTCCCGCCGTTTTATTTCCGTGACCCAGCGGAGTAAATTTTATTTATTAAACTTCGCCCCGCGCCCTCACTAATCATCGAATTTTCGCTCCTCCGCCCCGCCATTTTACTTGTTAATTCTCGTCTTTTCGCTTGGCGGGATCGCGGGGGCGAAGTTTTATTTATTAAATATGATGCCTATAGAAAGAAAAAAGGTACTGTAACTCATTTATATTGTATTTGCTGTCATTATATGAAACATTTCCACCCTTCTGTCCGCATCTTTTTTTCTACTTCATCAAAGACCAAATACTAATATAATAATTAAAATGACCACTTCCTCTTAGTAAATGAGGCCTGTGCCTGTTTATTGCGTATGTGTTGTTGGCTTGAAATCTCTAGCAAAAATTTAAAAAAAGGAAACTAGCAAAGATTCAAAAACATGAGTTAAATATAATAAGTATATTGTTAAATTTGTATATAACGTCGAAAATTTCGCACATTTTTTACAAAATAATGTCTACCCTGTCCAAATAATTATGAGATGTTGCGATGTATATTTAAAACATGTCTACATGTAACCACTCTCTGAAAATATAAAAAATATAAAAAGAAATAAGACTTACTTGCCGATGCAGTGATATTTTACTTGTTTCTGCAATATACACTTTCATTCCGTACGCTTATATAACCTGGAATTAACGCCAGAACTTCTTGTGTGGACAAATGAATGTGGGGTCTTGACGTAAACATATTATGTTTCTTTTTGTTTGAGCTACCAATCTTTTCACTTTAAATCAATGTAACTTATTGAAAAAACTGACAATGTGCAAGGTTTATATAGAGGTCATATAATTGCTGTGAAATGCAGACAATAAACATATCAGTCTCAGTGTTAATAATGTCAAAAAAAGTTCACTAAATCAGCTAGGGTTAAATACGCAATACAGTTGTACTTGAACATAAAGAAATCAACAGCAGAACGTGGTTCATTTTGTGAGAAATAAAATGTAGGGATAAATATTCGAGAAAAAAACTGTCACTAACGTTATACGATTTTATCTATTCGTTGAAGCATGTTCGCGCTTCAAGATTTGTGTATTTGACTGTACCATTCACGAAAGATCCCTGACCAGTCTAATTCTAATTGTCAGTTCAACAACATTGACCTGGCGCTCTTGCATTCCACCCCATAGTCGGTATATGGCGCAAACGACGTTACGATCTACTGGTAAATCGATATGAATGTACATATTCATTGTTTAAAAATGATATAAAATAAAAAAATCCCTCTTAGCGCAGTTGGTAAAGGGTTTTCAGTTGAACGATGTAGACGTTAATTGGTAGGTTCGAATCCTGATTCAGTGATAGTCAACGCAGCAATGGTATATCTATTACTTATAAAGAATGTTATCTTAAACACCAAACATAATACGTTGTCCTTAAAAAAAGATGCAATTAAACATATAGCATATTAAAATATGTGAGTTTGATGGTTTAGTAGGGAACACACAAGGGTGCAATTACATGAAAGTGCATTCAGTAATCATAAGGCATGATTGAATTCAGCAAAACGCAGGTTTTCATTGTCATAAAGAAGTATAGAAGCAAGCATAATGTAAGGAAAGATGGAATAAATGCATTAATTCTGTTCCATACTTTAAACTGTTGCAAACCATTTTGTTGTGTTGTATTTTAAATAATTGTTTTTATAGCGTGTATGCGCTAAAGCTGTCACAAAGAGAACCGTTGAAAGATACTGTACTGAAATAAAAATTTAATTGTGTATAAAAGCACCACTTAAAATGTATTCTAAAAACAGGTGTAGTAAAACTATTTCAAATTAGTTCTTGTAAGTTAAATTAAAAAAGAATCTAAACGTGGTGTTGGTAAGGAATCGAACCAAAGGCCTTCAAATCGGTAGTCCGACATTTATACCAATACACCACACCTCACTGACGAGTGAAGTTAGCAAATATATCAATATATTCGATAGATACTTGTCAGTATTTATTCTAATGACATTTACGATTGTTAATGAATTTCCAGGTCAATATTGTTGGACAATACAAAAAGAATTTCACCACAACATATTTGATAACAAAAGAGCACATGTCAATGTTTGTGGTTTAATCTATTAATATTCAAATAAAAGGTCAGAGAAGGGGTCTATTAGTTGTCGTTGGTTCCTATGTTAGCTGTGTTTTACGTAGCATTTGAAAACGGGAACCAAAACTACTTTTTGCAAAATGGCATCGTATGCATGGCTTAAAACATATGAGAGACAATAATATAGGTTTATCACGTTTTATTTAAAAACATCATAGTACAGCACAATAAATAATTCCACGTGCATTTGTTATCTGTACACGTGTTCTCGAAACATGCCCAAATGTTAATTGTTCACTCTTCGTTCTTTTACGTCAGCTGTTCTGCAAAATACAAATTAATATAAAATCTTAATAATTTCATTAAACAATCTCCAAATAGATGTGACAACAATATATTTCTAGGGATTAAAATGTACTGTATCAAGAGCGTCACGATAATCTATATTGCTCGTCCTTTTTTGCGGTTGGGTTTAATGTCGCACCAACAGCTTTACTGGTTATGAAATACCTCAGGCCCCCCTCCATCCATTATTTAATGAACGACCAGGTGCCTGAGTATAACTTATTCTTTATACTCTGAAAAGGCTTGTCATTATTTTGCAGCTTTTACATACACTGAAATATAAACTTCGTTGAACGATTATCAGTAATATTAACACATCGTGAAAATCAAATCAAAACTATTTATTACCATTTATTTAACCGGTAGCGGAAGCGTTTGTGATGGTGATGGTACCACTGCTGCTGGTGTTGTTGTTGTTAAGGAAAAAGAGGAGGAAGAAGAGGAGCAACAACATCATCAGTCCTAAAAATAGAAAAAATAGAAATAAACATGTACCAGTATTTACATTTGAATAGGTTTATCATTTTAAATATATATTCTAAAACAAATATTACTTGCGGCGTTTAACTTAGTTTATAAAAACAAATCACAAACAGATTTTTTCCGAAAAAAAACCGCATTTAAGCTAAAAGGTTTCATTGTAATATTTTATTAAACAAGAAATGATTTTATAAAGCTATTTTCAATCCAATAATAAATGCGTAAATAGGTTAACATACCTGACTGTCCACCAAGACCGGAGCCACCAGTACTGGGGTAGTATCCGTAATTGGCGGTAGCGAGTCCGAGCACGCAGGCCAGAGCAAGAGCGACAACAAGGATGGATTTCATGATGGCTGAAAAATTATAATGCGTTAAAAAATCAAATAATACAGTCATATTTCAAGAAGAGAATTACATTATGTATTTTATGTTTCAGCGGGTATTTTATTTTAAACATTATCTTCAAGCCTATTATATATTTAATAACTTTACCGAATACTTTATAGTAGTTTCATATTTTATCGATTCTTTAGATAGACGCATTTATCAAATTTAAAAAACCATTATTTCAAAATATTCTTACATTTTAATTTATAAGAACATTCTTTATGACTTAAATCATTAAACTTGAAATGGTTAGAAAATAGGTTAATTTAGATGTGTATGTTGAATAGATTATAGCTAAAAAACGGTTTTTTACTGACTTAAAAACTCACACTGGTTAATAATACTTAAATTTATTTAACAGGTTACGTCAAATACGCTAATTTATTCATTTAATTTTGGAGTGTATATATTTCATTAAAATACATATAATAAAATTTATGACATTTAAAAAAATTCAAAATATTCTTACATTTTTATTAACAAGAACATTCTTTATGACTTAAATCAACAAACTTGAAATGAAAAAGGTTATGAATATGTTGTACTATAGCTAAAACGGTGTTTAAGATTACACTTTTATCAAGCTATATAGAACATGATTAATTTAGATTATAATTTTATGTATAAGAATTAAATATTTGTAAATTTAGAATACATGTGTCTTACCTTGTTTGAATGATCAGTCGAATGATGCTATTGCCATGTAAACGACAGTTTTTATACGGTAAAAATCGCTTGCGTATACCCGGAAGGTGTTACGGCATAACGTCACCTGTGACGGGAACACGTCTGGTCGAGTTAACCTATTACTTAATTTATTTAACAGGTTACGTCCATCACTGCTTAACTTTCATTTAATTTTGGAGTGTATTATTATTTCATTAAAAAACAATATAATAAAATTTGATGACATTTAAAAATCCTTTCCTTTCGTAAAACGATTGTGTTCAATGATGAAAATATATACATACATTATAAGGCAACTATATATAATAACACATTTTATAAACAGTATGAATCGATGAAAGTTAAACTATTGATTGAAGCAGGGTCTTTCAAATAGAAAGTGTTTAAAAATAACATCATGCCGTGAAAAAAAAACATTTTTGCTCTTGTATTTAATTTTCGCCCTTTTCTTGAACACTTACATAATTTGCGTGTAGCAAACTAACCGAGTTATACCGAGACATGTTTAATTGTAGCGAGAAGGGTTTACATAGCGCGTTTCCAGACCATTCTATTTGAAAGACCCTGGTTGAAGTTATAATCTGTAAGAAAGTTTATAAAAGAGCTCTTTGACAGGAATAAAAGATATGCTATGCTCAAATTTCATATTACGAAACATTGATAACTGCTACACAGTCTCTTTGTAATTATAAAATAAACATGTTTTGACTTCACACAAAGTACATATTTAATGTTTAAAACCCTACACACTATAGGTGACTGCAATATGAAAATATAGTACCATTTAAAAGACTGGCAGTTTTTTAAGAAAATACGAACTTTACTTGACCTGCAAAATGGAACGCAGCTTCACATACATAGTTAATTCATTCTTTTATCCAGTTGATACATAATTAGTAAGAATTTCATAGATTTCTGTGACTTAAATATTTTAATCAAGGATAAGCATAGTATATCATTATATATTTGTAAATGATCAAATATATATTTATATTTTATGTAACTAAAAGCTATAAAATGAGAAATACTCTGTGACCTTATTTTCATCTTTTTTCATTTTATTTTCATTTTATTTATAATTTCATTTATTTCCATTATTCATTATTTCTATTTGGTAAGCTGTTTATTTTCTAATCGTTCTAGACAGCAATTGCAGAAAACAAATAGTAAGAAATGAATGTTTGTAACTCGAGCACAGATACATGTTTTAAGAGACTGCACATAGGATCGAGAAGGGACCCAGATTCGGCATATTTTCGACAGTTAACGGTTTAAAACGTTCTGCAATAATTATTTAGTAACGAGTATATGCCTCAAAATATATTTATTTTATCAATAACCAATCTTCTTTTTCACTGGTAAATTTCGATATTTGAAAATTATGTCCGAAGGTTTCGTACCAGTCAGAACTTATAATAAATTACTATATAGATTACTTGTTATTAGTTTGGTTTTTTCTATCATTTTACAGGACTGGTATATCAGATTATGCTTTATTTAATTTACAAGGTTGTTGCCAAAAACAAAAAACGAAACAACCTTTTAAACATCCTAACTGTTATAATAAAGCGCAACATATAAACACTAGTTTTGACAATTGTATTTACTGCATGTTACTAGATAACACAGACCAGATTTTTGATAAGAAATGAAAGGACTAACTTGTACCGAACATCTCGGGAAATGGCGTCTTTCCCTGCTCACTGTCCGGTTTTTTCGAGTGTTCAACTTGCAAGCAAACTGTAATCGAGATGATATAGTTTAAGGCCATAACTTTAAGCTCCATTAAGATCCGAAAATGTTAGTTTTTCCTTTTGTCTAAACTTGTTTTTTCTGGTGTCATGTTTCCGTTTCCAAAGTTTTTTATGACAAATTACGAGTTCACTATCAGCATTACTTCCCATAGGTGATAAACATCTATAACGTGCATAGGTGATAAACATCTATAACGTGCATAGGTGATAAACATCTTTAATGTGTAAAGGTGATAAACATCTATAATGTGCATAAATGCAGGAGGACTCCAGAAGGTAACAGAAAAAACTACCGTCGTACAAATATTTCAAAATCCCTCCTCAAAAACATTATAAAGTTTAAAGAAATAGAAATGACACTTCAAACTGTTCATATTTTAACATTCTTGCTCTGACCATTAACGGGATATACCTTCATTTTTAACCTACGGAATTCCTTCATCCGGGTTTTTTTTAGTACGTACCACGTGATTGTACAGGACAGTATCGCGACCAGTGATCCGGAACGCACGGAAACCGTGATCGCATCAAACATACAGGCTTGATATTTGTAGTATTTTGTGGCACTAAAATTATTAAGATTAATTTTATAATATAATATTGGCCATCATATATACCGGGATTTTTCCGAACCAAATGACCATGTTGAATGAATTATCTTCTCCTATTTATAATGGCTACTGCGTTAGTAACGAACGTAGTAGATTATGCAAAGAAGAAACACAATATATTGGTGTTTTGTTAACAATCTTTCATGAATAAAAATATCAGTAATAATGGATTTACACACTCAACCTAACTCATGAGAAGGAAGAACTATGTTTGATGGAACTCACTTAGACGTAACGATATTAAACTTATGGAACGCACCATTTTGTTCTATGGACAGCGCCTTTTGATATCAGAAAGTTTTACTTTTAGATTAGAGGCAGGCACAGTAACTAGCAGCAGACGACAGAAAACAGTATAATTGAACAAAAGAAGCAAAGTTTAGGGATAAAAGGCAAATATGTTATTTGTATCTGCAATCGAAACTTATCGGCCTTTTCCGTCAGTCTTCGGATAAGGACATCGAACACAATAATATAAATACACAGAACGGATACGGCATTTTGGTCTAAAAGGGGGAATAACTGTTACACGAGGGATGGAGTTCTTAAGATAACTTGTCAGGAGTTCTTGTGATAACTGTCACAGAGTTCGTCGGAAACCTTTGTATTACTACAAAAAAAATCGTCAAAAATGGTAATTTTCATCTTTAAAAAGTGGGTTTTATGTGCTAAATTAAACTTTAATGATTAAGCTTGCCTTACATCTTGTATTATGTGTCAAAAACTAATTCATATGCCATTTTCCATTGCCTTTTGGTTAAAATCTGGTAGTTTTGTGTAAAATTTCCAATTTATTTTCTAATTCGCACGTATTGACCTGTTTATTTTTGGTTTTCATCCTTTCCATAAATAGTTACCTTATTGTAATGCAAATTTGCAAACATAAAGCCCCGGCTTGCAAATTTATACCCGATTTTTCAAATGTCACAGAGTTCTTGTGATAACTCAAAATATTTCCTGGAGTTCTTATGATAACTGGCTGGGTGTTTCTTGCACTACATAACGGCACATTTTAGCGGGGTGTTTTATTATTCAATAATCATTATGAAATGTAGTACGCTCATCCTTTACTTCCTCTAAGGGAAAATGCAGACGATGAAGAATGTACAAAACTGTTATTTGTTATGCGTTTGTTTGACATTAAATGTTGTTCTCCTGGCTAATGTAACACATGTGCATGCACAGAGATTCTCGTGCCTGAATTTTCTATTCTCCTTAAACACTGTCAAAGCCTACACACACATGGAGCCACATTATAAGAGATCGCTGTTAGTAACACAGGAATAGTTATTTTATAAGCAACTGTGGTTTTTGAAAACTTTCTTTTTAAAAAGAAGTAACTTGAATTGTGAATATATCTCAGAAAGAAATCCTTTTATACGATTATTAAAGGCTATGCCTCATAAGCAAATATATTTTTCCTCTTTAGAAATGTACACATGAGTTATAATTTATAATGTTTCACTAATGGGTTTTACTGCATGTTAAATACTTATCATATGCAGAATAAGCGCTAAATGTGAAATTATTTGTCATAAAAGAAGTAAGAGATTAGTAAAGTAGTATTTTGGCCGCCACACAAAACACTAAATCACTTTAACTGTATCAATTGCCGAAAAGCATCAGAAGTAAAAGATGGTTCAGTGAATTGGCAAATGTGCAACTTTTCGGACAAGAAAAATATAAAGCCTAAGAGAATTTAAAATATTCGCATGTCTGCTGGGGCTTAATTACATATAGTTTCCTTAGTTTGCAATTTTAAACATGTGCTCTACTTATCTGAATGCTTTTTATTCCTCTATACAATAACAAAATAAAAATAAAGTTTCTTTTTACTTTTTTTATTTAAAAACTTAACAACAGATAACAATATATAAATAAATGTTATCAGAGCTTTGCAGAAACATCCTGGAGGATTCGATGCTATGTCTTGTTCTTTTAATTATCTGAAATTAGAAAGAAATTGGATACACATATTTTAAACGAATTTTATTTTTCTAGAACAGAGGATAGTTAAATGCTTGGATAAACTTAAAGAGTAAGATTTTTTATGAAAAACAAAATAATATTTCATTCAAGGCAAATTGTATTGGCTTCCAATTGCAAAAAAAAATGCGTTCACTTTAATTATTGTAAATATAAAATCGCTACCCACATATTCAGATAAATGTAAAGAGAAGTCAGTTATTATTAGAAACAACTAATAATAATAATAATAATAATAATAATAATAATAATAATAATAATAATAATAATAATAATAGTAATAATAATAATAATTTGCAATTTCGCTTAAATCCTTGATAAAAGATAATAAGAAGAAATTTGTCTACAAAATGGAAGGAAATCTGCTTACCATTTATTTAACCGGTAGCGGAAGCGTTTGTGATGGTGATGGTACCACTGCTGCTGGTGTTGTTGTTGTTGAGGAAGAAGAGGAGGAAGAAGAGGAGCAACAACATCATCAGTCCTAAAAATAGAACAAAAAGGTAAATATACATGTATACATGTAGATGATGCAAACATATATGACTGATATAGCCATTTGCCTCGGTTAACTTTTTCAAAATATTCTCTAAAACAAATATTATGCGCGGTGCTTCACTTAGTTTATAAAAACAAAACATGGCAAGATGAATGTCAATTAAGCCAACAGTGTTAATGAAATGTGATTGTAATGTTGTTTAATTAAGGTAAAAATGATTTTATAAAGCTATTTCCAAAGCTATTACCAATAATAATAAAGGTGTGAATATGTAAACATACCTGACTGTCCACCAAGACCGGAGCCACCAGTACTGGGGTAGTATCCGTAATTGGCGGTTGCGAGTCCGAGCACGCAGGCCAGAGCAAGAGCGGCAACAAGGATGGATTTCATGATGGCTGAAATAATGACGATTAAATTCGAATCATTAAATGGTCATAAAATTAGAAGTTACAGGAGAAAATGGTAAATATTTCAAATTTATCTTTATATTAATAAATCAATATTCCCACTTAATTCAAATTTATATATCCATGATAACTTTCAGTAATACGGGTATATTACAGTCTTGTTGTGTATAAGTTTACTTGATTGAGTACTAAATATTCCTTGCATCATTAAATTATCTAGAATGCCGCTAAGTAAAACACAAACACAGGGTGTGAAAAATGTAAAGTTTGATCATATAATTTGAAACATTTAAATTAAAACTAATGAGATATTTTAATGTTCTTACCTTGTTGAAATTGATCAGTCAATTGATGATAAAATTGAAATAATCAAACCATTATATATAGTAAACATTTTTGCGACAATGCGCGTGTATTACCGGAAGTCATTATGCCATTTTGTCAGTATAGACACCCGCGGTTGTCAAACTGGTCTGCGTACCTCAGGAAAATGTCGCCTTGGTCGCGATGGCTGCGAGGTATCAAAAGGGAGTGATGTGAATTTTCACTTATGTAACGTATTATTAAAAAAGTATACATGTACTTAGATTACATTGATAGTACATTTTAAATTTCCGTACGTCGAAATCACGGCCATTACAAGATACTTACCGGTAAAAAATTGTTAAGAAAATTAGATAGTATTAAAAACAACAACAACAACTAAAACAACTACTTTTCGAGTTACATTTATTTCAAATAATTTCATAAGGTTTCTTGGTTTCTAGTATTTTGGGAAAACATAACGTCTAATTATATTGTTATTTATCTACTCCAATACAAAGGCATTGAAGATAAAATGGTATAATATATTTGAGTGTATACCTCTTTCCTTATGACTGTTGGTGGAATTCAGTTTAATTGTATAAAGATAGATTAAAAATGTTCTTGTTACCTAGTTTGTAACTGGTAGTTATTAAGAAGAGCATGACAATTGACAGAACGTGTCAAACAAATAAGAAGTAATTTAAAGCATGCAGGTAATACTTAATACAAAGATTTATGACCTCTAGTATAGCGCATATTTATACAAAAGTAATGTTAACAAGCGGAATAACTCTATAACAGCTATATGTGAGGAATTTCGCATTTGTCTCCCTTATCCAATCCGAAATTGTCACGTCTCGTTTCCTCATTTTGTTTGGTAACTTTGGTAACAAATATATCTTATGTTTCATATAAAAGTAATTGAGTTCAATAAACAATGCTAGAAATATTGAAGGAAATCAAAGAAGTAGCCAACTTCACGCCGCCAGGCCGCTAGGCCGCTGGGCCGCTAACTTCGCACATCTGTAAGCTCTTCACGTAAGCCTGTCGAAAATGGAACTAAAATCTACAATTTCTGACAAAATTCATATTAAAGCGAATTGATTCACGTTTGTAAACAGTAAGCTTTTAAAATAAGTGAGAAGTTTGTAATAGAAAACATCGAAGGTTTGATTGATAAAGAAATAAGAAATGTAGAAATTTTCATCATGTTGACGGCCTTCCAATGTAAACAAGTTACACATTACTCGTAATTTTTTAAAATATTGACACTAATTTTTTAGACACTAAAATATAGATGACATACGAACCTTAAACAATCTAATGACAATTTATTATGCTCTGGACATGTTTCAGAGATAATAACTATGAAAAAACCAAGTCTTACTAACACGTGACTACTCACGAGGTATTACGAAGGTCTTTCTTTATTTGTTTGTTTGTTTGTTTGTTTGTTTCTTTGTTTCTTTCTTTCTTCATTCATTTATTTGTCTATCTATTTATATTTTCTGAACTATTAAAAGAAATTTAATTTCAATATTCATCGCTCGTGATAAAATATTATCGAGTCTATCCAAGGGATAGGACTCGCGTTTCATGATGGAGAGGTCCCGGGTTTAAGTCGTTGAAAGAGCGGTAAAATCTTTACGTCAGCAGGATGGCTTCCATCTTTACCGGGGAGATCGATAGATGGTTTCTGATATCCAAACGACCATATTTAACTGTAACGTTGGTGAGCGTGTCACGTGCTGAAGTAGAATGGGTCTTATATTTTTACAATCCTATTCAGGAAAGATAAAAAACCACAACTTATTTCATATAGTGCATTTAAATGTGCATCGGGGTAAATTTTACAATTTTGAATCCTTTTATGGTACAAATATTTTTGAAAAATAAAAATAAATGTTAACCGCCCTTTATATAGTTCCTTTATATTTAGTTATTTACCCATTCTTGCACTGTCTTTTTGTGCAGTCTTTTTTTTTTGTTACCCGTAGGTTAGGATGTGTCAAACGTGCAGATAAAGAAAATGACTGAAAATAAGCTCAAAACACTTTATAATCAAACAGATCTTGATCTGTGATGAAGAAAATATATAAATCATCAACATATGAAGGGTGAAATGGTCAATGCATTTTGCGACCCGTATGAGAATACGTGTTCCATATTCAGCATCAAATTCAATGAAGTAGACGGATTATTGGTAATCAAGACCCTGGCAATGTCTTATATAAATATAAAAACTATACCAATAACCGTGAAATATCAATATCCTCAATGATAAATACCGTCATCAGTGTATGTATATAAAACTGAACAACAGAACTATATTTGGACGAGTACAAAAGTTGAAAAAGTGTTATTGTTATGGTTGACGACGGACGCGGCTACGAGGTAGACAATGGAGGGGTCTCCCAAGGAAAGTACTGCACCCCCCCCCCCCCTTTAAAAAATGAAAAATGTTGGTATGGATGGTGGTTTTTGTTGTGTTCTGACATTCAAATATTTTTTTCGTGGTAAAATGAAAATATCTGCCATCACAGACAAAAATGTCTCAATCTTATCGGTACTAAATGCTCCTTCAGAAATGCACGTAAAGAACGACAGGACAGAACACACGTCACGGTATTTGAAATTCGTCAATGTTATACGCGAGTATCTATCTAAGGAATTCTTTAGCCAATAAAGTGATAAGTTCATTTATTTTGCAAGCGAATTGAAAAAAGAGAAAAGAAATGATATAAGTTGATTAGAATAATGTCTGAGGTGAGTAAATCAATGGTAAAAAAGAGGTAAGGATACATTACATATGCCTTTTTAAACATGCTGCAAGGTTTTAAATAATGTACCAAAATGTGTCACTGTATAATCATAACAAATCTGTTTGTGTATACATATAACATCCAATGTCGATAGTTTCAAAACAGTAAAGTAGTATTTACTAACTTAAAGTGACATTAATTACGTATGATAAAACCATCTTTTCAAGGTAGTATATTATTAATACAGATGTCAACTTTTAAATATAATAAGCTTTCATTTTTTGTTCATTTATTATAATGCTTTTTAACTGCCAACGTATTTTGTATTTAGCGGAGAAGAAATTATTACAACGTATATTTATTTGGATATAGAGCACATATCCACATATGGATCACAATGCGATTTTTGACTGTCGTTGCTGTTTTACAAAATGGACAAAGCTAAGCTGCAAATCAACGCTACATGTCTTAAGGCAATTTGCTTTACAGACTGTGTTACAATATCTTTTCAATTACTTTACTCTTAGACGACTGTTGCAACATTTTTCACGACATCGTGTAGGCTTTGAACAAGATCCCCACCACTGCAGATTTACTGTAAAATTATGAATAGCCCAATTGACTGTCAAGATAATTGCAATATGGACAACGGTCTACAATATCTGATATCATGTCTTATTCAGCATAATTTTAGAAAATTGGGTATATGCTCACAAATTCATGGAACGTGACACTTTGGAAGATTATAACAATTCTAGCATCAAATTATTACCATGCTCAGCGAATTGTGTTGGAAAACAGCTGATCCAAAATATTGTACTCGACTTTTATGCATCCTGCAGGCTTACGAAATTGCTTAATTAAAGTGTTATGTAATTTTGTATGAATGTCAGGAAAAAGGCTAGGTCCTGTCAGTTTTTAGACCGATGGCAATTAGCATATTTTTTGTTTTAAGGCAGCTCGCAATGATACTTGTTAATATCATGCATTAAGTCGAAGAGGAATTTTAAGTCCCTTGAAAATTACAGTATTTTCTTAATTATGATAATGTTGTTAGAAGCAGATTCAAATAAGGATATGATTTTTGGATAGTCTGCAAACATTTCGCGTGGTATAATTTCATTTTGATTCTCGATGGGTGTTGAAAATTAGTGTAATACTGAACGCCGACACGTGTCTCCTTCTCGTGGTTAGATTAAATGACACATGTGATGAAAGATAAGTTTTATTTTTTAGTGGATGCATTCATCCTTAAGTCATACATTTTTCTTGTCAGAAAACTGTATAGAAATCTTCTTTGTTTGTTGTCGTCCCTATAAATATTTATTATAGATCAAGAGGTAAACCAAAACCGGATGAATTTTAATCTAGAATGGTTTAAAGTCAAAATAAATTATACCTATTTATTGATACTTGGTCAGATTGCTTGTGTTTATGCTCATTTTTCAGTGGTAAGTTGGGCTGAATTGATTATATAATTCAAAGATTAACTGTTGTAATGGGGATTGACCAACAGCTGATATTTGACAATGTTTAGGATAAAATACAAATCTGCCTGAAATATATAAAATTCTGGAAACAAAGTAATCCCTCAGAAGCATTAATCACAACAAAATTACAAAGAAATGCAGACTCGGATTTGATGAGGATTGTGTACATTGAGGGGATATAAATTATACGTGCAACATGTCAACCTTCACCGAGACGAGCCTTAGCGCAGAGTCTAATTTTAGATGTCTTCACTCAAGGTTTGCAGTAGTTGATTTTGACAGAAATTTACGTATTTAGCCTACCAAGATGATATTGGAAATCGTTTTCATGGGAAGTAAATTAAGGAATTGAAAGGAATTCTGACAAAATTTAAACATATTTCCACCCTAACCTGTTCACTCAGTATATACCATTGGATGGGCATAATGTTATTTTAACAATACATCACAGTATTTTTGCAATGC